ATGATATAGATGATGAAAGATGAAATAAATGATGAGAGGCCTCGATGTTAAAGCTAATCCAGTCATCTAGCGGTGTATAGATGACGCCCATAGACTATTCTAGACAGTCCAGTGGAACACTGGCAGACTCGCAACTTGTAGGTGTTTTTGAACTACGTGTTCACCAGGTGTACTCCATCCCCCTCATGGTTGCCTTACTGACGATACTTAGGATAGGTCCCTTAAATTAGATACTTTAGGGACATAAAGTGAGGATAACGGGAACGGGTAATCGGGTTGAATGATTTGATGAAAATAAAGAATTTAATTATTGTGCGTTGAAAACCCTATGTATTCACCAGGCTCCAAAGCCCGGCTCACTTAGTTTCTTGTATTACAGGTAGTGGCACAAGAGCACCGGTGTGATGAACAGATGAGAGAATTATGGATTATAGGCCAGTAGAATAATAGATGTTGTAAGGCCTATGTTATTTTCCGTTTGTGCTTATGTAATGTATTGACGATGACATCCCAACGTTTTTAATATAATTAAAATACATTTCTTCGGAAATGCTTTGATAATATCTTTATCGCATTTTGGGAACAAATTCCGCAATATTATTCTTGAAAAGGATACTCTGATTTAAAAAAAAAACATAAACAAATCAGTCTTTTCTAGCCGTGAAATTGGGGATGTTACATGTTCTTCCTCTTCCTAAGAACAAACTGGAAGTGGAAACTTCTTTTCCAACTGAAACTTTTCTTTTTAGTTCCTTGTATATCAAAGAATCCTTCAGATCATTCACATTGATCTTTGTCCTACCATACATCATGGTATTAACGAAATTCTCAATATAATTTGGCAGTGAACATAAGAAGATAAGTGCTTGATCTTTATTTCCAATCTTTACATTCACACCTTGTAAATCCAATATGATCCTTCACTTGGGTGCTTTCTGATATCCTAAGAGTATATTAACGTTGCTTCTGAGACAGCCTGTTCGTCAAAGAATTGTTTTGATACTTGTCACACAATTTCTCCCACAACCTATATGCACTCGTTTGATCCACGAACTCTCTCAGTAGAATAGCGCTATGCGCTCTTGAAAGAATATTCACCTTTCTTTCAATATCCTTTGGCAGTTTTGCTTCTCCTTCTAGTGTCGCTGCACATCCTTGTTGAACCAAAAGAGCTCTCGTCTTCACCTTCCACAAAGTGAAGTCGTTTGAACAATTAAACTTCTCCAAATAAAACTTGTAAGTAAACATCTTCAATCATAGGAACACAAACTGTATATCTGATACCACTTGTTAGGAAATCAGACGATACTTATCAAGACTCAGAATAAATCTGATGCCACTTGCAAACTTCTAATGACCCTTGTTAGGAAGTAATATGGATAAGAAACAAAACCAAAAGCACACAAGACATAGTATTTATATGGTTCGGTCAAGCTGACCAACGTCCACATACAGGATGGGAGTATTCTTTATTTCAGAGTCCTTAAACTGAGGTTACAAGTACAATTCACCACAGATTCGGCCTACTCGCTAAGGATACAAAAGATACAAAATAAATTAGCATGCATCCTTATTTATACTTGAGGGATCAGACCTAAAACCCTAATGGGCCAAGCCCATTGGACTATAGGCCCATGAAAAGCAATTGGTGGTGTAGGAGCAAGGATAATCATATAAGGAGTACCTAAGAAGTTAGTTGTAGCTGGTAGGAGAAGTGGGTGTTAGCACACCTAGGAGTGGTCTAGTATAGTGACTTAGGACCTTGGGATGAATTCTGAATCAACAACGGATAGGTATAGAAGGTAGTATGGGACCGTACTACTGAAATCATAGGATCCGTATGAGATTCATGAGGAATTTCAAGGCTACTAAGGAACTAATAGGAGTAGGGCCTGGTGTATTGAGAATTTTGTTGTGATCTCTGATCTTTCCTTGGTATATATTCAATATGGAGGCTATTGAAGGTTCAAGATTAGGAGTTGGCAGAAGTAGGAGAGCAGGTCTGACTGAGGAGGAGATCTTTGGTATCATTGCTACAGGAGTGGCCGAGGAAATTAAGGAGGCGACTCCAGACTTGTTCGGGATGGTCAAGACTACCATGATTGAGCTATTCAATGTCACTATACTGCACTTTCTGAGGTTTCTGTTGTTGTAGCTACCGTTGTTCTTGTTGTCGTTGGGGTTCGAGGAGAGAGAGATTTTAGTACCATGAATTCGACAATACAAAGCCTCCGGAGTTTGAAGGGGTCGGGGAACCGATTGTAGCGATGAGATGGTTGTCTAATGTGGAAGGTTTTTTCTTCACATGCTCTTGCCCTGCTGAACAGAAGGTCAAGTACGCCCTGAACCTTCTCAGGTTGAGAGCGAATGATTGGTGGAGATTGGTGACAAGTGCTTACACTTCTTAAGAGTGAGAGTGTTGGGACTCCATAAAGTTGACAACTTTATGGGTCATTAGGGTCCCTTGATGCTTATATGTTATGGATATGAAGTTTGGAGGATGTTTGAGTCCATGCATGAGAAATTAATTCCTTTTCTTCATAAATGACCTCGCTTGAGCTCATGTCTTTTATTGGACATAGAAGACCTTAAAGCATCGATTTTTATGATCCTTGGAGTGTTAGAAAGCCTACTAGAATAGATAGATTAGTGGCTTAATGGATTAAGAAGTTTTTGGAGAAATATGGCATTCAGACTGATCTCACGACGTGAGGAGATGCATGTCACGTCGTGAGGGTGGTGAGACCCTACTATTTTGTCCTGAAGTGGCTCACGATGTGAGCCATAAATAGTCACATTGTGAGGGTCTGTTAACTGTTGAATTTCGTTGATCGTTGACCGTTGACTTTTTGAACAAGTTTGACTTTTGGTCAAACTTGAGGATTTTGGGCTATTAATTGAGATTCTATCTGGTTCTGGTGTTAGTGGATTCGCGGGAGTAAGAAGTGCTGAAAAGGGGTCGTATCGCAGTGTTCAGAGTTCTTCGATTCAGGTGAGTTTCGCCTCACTGTACCGTGGGTCGAAGACACCAATGTCAGCCCACTAGTTTTGGTTATCTGTTAGTAGATGGATGCCTTAGGGACCGTATATAATCATGTAGGACTGACTGAGGACTCTTGATTTAGGCTCTTTTACCTGGTCCTCGTTTGGTTATGGTTCTAGAGTTGGATCACCTGTCTGGGTGACTATCTCACCTCTGAGTATATACGGTTATGCATTCCTTGGATTGTTGGTAATTAGTATGTTGCTATGTTGTAGTGACCTGTTAGGTTTTTATCCTAGTAGTTGGTATATTCTTATGTCGTAGTGGCCTGTTAGATATGTATCCTGGTAAATGGTATGTTGTTATGTTGTAGTGATATGTTAGATATGTATCCTGGTAGCTGGTATGTTGTTATGCTGTAGTGATATGTTAGATCTATATCCTGGTAATTGGTATGTTGTTATGTTGTAGTGATCTGTTAGATATGTATCATGGTAATTGGTATGTTGTTATGTTGTAGTGATCTGTTAGATCTGTATCCTGGTATTTAGGATGTTGCTAGGCGGTAGTGATCTGTAGATCTGTATGCCTATCTGTACTTGTTGGTTATCATCTAGTGGAGTGCCCTAAGGACTGTCTGTGGTTATGTAGGATAGCATGAGAACTCTTGATCTAGGCTTTCTTGTCTGTTTCTCGTTTAGTTGTGGCTCTAGAGTAGGATTGTCTGTTCGGGTTTCTATCTCACCTATGGTCATGGTTACGCACTCTATGGAGGTTAGCTGGTAGCATGATTGTATGCTGTGAGAGGACTAGTAGGCGGTAGTGAGTTGTATGATTGATGTTTGCATGTATTATGTGCCTACTTGATCCTTGATTGTTTATATGTCGACATATGGTAGTAGTGGGTTGAGGCGGTCGTGCTTTGTGTTGTAGACCAAAAATACCCAGTGCAGGCCGGCTATAAGCCGTAGGCACGGAGGCTCTAGTATAGCGGTTGGGTTGAGGCGGTAGGCCAACAAACCTTGTGTATTCCAGCCCGATGGCTGAGTGGACCCGATGTATGCTTGTATGTTTATCGTATGGGGTATTTTAGGGGAAACTCACTAAACTTTGTGCTTACCCAGTTGTTTATTTTTTCAGGTATCATCGGTCATCATGGGAAGACGAAGACGTGATTGTACACATTCATCAGCAACAATGAAGATTTTCGCGCTTTAATATTACTCTGATTTTTATAAATGTATTTGGAATAAACGGTTTTCTCCATAACGGAATTAATACTGGGAAGATTTACTTAATTAAAACGAAAAATTTTTGTTGTGAAAATAGAACGTTACATACATGAATATAAAAAAAATATATGACAATCCATTAAAATTTATAAAGTTAATTATATGAGAAATGTCCTTAGATATTATGGCCATGGCATACATCCATCACACTTTTTTACTCAAACGCCATATAATAAAGTTCAACAAATATGCCCATGATTAATACCACTTAGAAACAATACGTATTGTCCCCGAATTATAGCCCTTTTATATGACATGATTATTGTCTAAGTAAACAATGTCTTTAACACAAAGCATGAACAATCAAGAGTAAAAGGAAAGCTAAAAGGGTATAATATATTAAAAAAAGTGTAATAAGTTATGTTTTCCCCTACTTTTTTTTCCCTTTTTCTTAATTTCTCATAGTGAATTTGGTTGTTGGGAGTGGGGTTAGTTCCAATTAGGTGAGGAGTCCAATTGAAGGGTTGTCTTGGTTTCCTGGCACAAAACTACTTATACAATACATATCTTTATAATAGCTTGTAATTTAAGCATTAAAATTTGTAAGCCTATGTCGATTTAGGATTTCGATTTCGTAAAAAATAGGTAGAATTCAACAATTTGTTTGTATTCTTATATAGGGTATTAATTAATTTAGGGTTTACATGATGACATCATTATTGGTACCCTTTTTACATGTACAAGGCATACTTATATGTCATAAATCTTTCTTCCTCAAGTATTCCTCCTAAAACAATTGCGGGCACTCTCGAAAAAAAGGGTAACTTAGACAATGCAACATCCTAAGCCAAGGTATGAACTTCCATATATCTTCGTTTATATTACCTCAAGAAGTGGTCAACATACACATTTTTCATTGTAAAATTACGCTCTTTTTATCGAATCTAGTCCTTTAAAACGTGAGTATCCAAAAGACCATCGCCTTATCTTTTCAACCAAAAGTAAATCTGTCAAAAAGATTCATTTACCATGGTTCTAAGTCTCAAAATGTGTTGTTATTGCATGATTTACATGGTAAAAGTAGGGGTAGAACTACAGGAACTACCGGAAAACTTGTAAAGAGTACATCTGGAGCAAATCGGGACAGCCTTTCCTCCCAAAGTTCCTCAACTAACCGATCACCACGCACTCCAGCATCCGAGGTATGATACAGTTATTCGTATTAAACAGTATTAATCATGTAAGATACGTAATTTGGATGCCTCAAATACTGTAGAAATAAATGGTGTTTAATCATATAAGCGATATATTATATAGACCTTAAATGTTGTGCAGAAAAAACGTGTTGGCAGAGTATCTGAATTGGAAACCCAAGTTGCACAGCTTCAAGAAGAACTCAAGAAGACAAAGGATCATTTGAGTGAATCGGAGTTATGTCAGAAGCGAGCTCATCGGGAGGCCGAAGATGCCAAGAAGCAACTTGCAGCTACGTTAGCGAAGCTCGAGGAGTCACAACAACAGCTCGACGAGATATGGGCTTGTGAAGAATCTAGAATTCAGGAACTTAGGAAAATCTCACAGGATCGAGATCGAGCATGGGAGTCTGAACTGAAAGCTGTACAGAAACACCATGAGATGGACTCAGCTGTTTTAGCCGCTACCATGAATGAAAACCAGAAACTCAAGATCCAGCTTCAAAAGGTGGTGGAATCTGAAGCGACACGGGCTAAGGATATCGAGTCTGCTCATGGTCATGAGGTACATATGTTACGGTTAGAGCTTTCGGAAGCTCTTGATCTTGTTGAAGAACTCAAGGATCGATTGAATGAGTCAAAAGAATCGGAAGCTCGAGCTTTGGAGCTCGTTAGTCAAACTCGAGAGCAACTGGAAATGGTAAAGCCGGGTATGGAGAAAGATGTGGTGGAGTTGACAGAAGATGGGGATGGAAGTGATGAAGCGGCACGGGTGGTGGAGTTGGGATCCGCTCTGGCGGCGAATGCAGAGATGGAAAACGAGCTACGGAGGCTGAAAGTTCAAACGGAGCAGTGGAGGAAGGCGGCGGAGATGGCTGCGGCCATGGTTTTGGGTGATGGTGATGGGAAGTTTGTTGAGCAGTCGTCGGAGTCGTTTGAGTTTCATGCTCCTGGTGAAAAGTCGAATTCGCCATATTCTGAAGATACAGAAGAGGACTCAACGAACAAAAAGACCAACAGCATGTTGAAGAAAATCGGAGTATTGTTGAAGAAAGGCCAGAAGCAGTTCGAAACATCTACCAAGTAATTAGCATTTAAACTGTTATTAATTTACGTGTTTTTGACAAAATTACATATAATTGTAATGCTTTTTTTTTAATTGTATAGATCTTATTATTTTCCATTGTATTTAAAAAATTATTTTTAATGGTAGATTTTGCTGGTGGTAGAGTATCATCTTTCCATGAGCAGAAGTTAGTCGGAAAGAAAAAAAAAATACATGTGGTGTGTTGATGATAGTGATGGATTTGACAAGAGGAGACCAACATCCTTTGAGAAAAAAAAAATTGTTAATAAAGTTAGTCGGAAAGAAAATTACAAATCAAGCTTTTTTTTAATGATTTTATAAAAAATAGTCAAAAATTAATCATTAGCCAAAACTATCATCGAAATCAAGACGATACTAACTTGCTTCTTGTTTTGTGCCTCATCTGTAGTTTCATTGCAGTCTATAAAATGATTTTTTTTTCTATTTGTTTCAATAAAACTGCAGATAGCTTAGGTCATGTGTGGTTTTCTTTGGTTTCAAATTCTATTTCATCCTTTCTTTGTTTCTGTGATCCCGAAGAAATAACCACAAATAGTTTGGTCTCGCCTGCTGTTTCGTCTCTCACCTACTATTTCGTTCATACAATTCGCCTGCTATTTCGTTTAAAGGATCGAATCAAGCCAAATAGCATATAAAGTACTTAAAAATAATTAATGGATAACACTTAACAACTTACAAAGAAAAATTAAATTAGAAAAATATGAAAAAAAAAATAATAAGAACGCTATTTTGCTTGCTTAACAACTTAACAACATTCTTATTTTTTCAATTTAGTTTTGTTTGTATGTTGTTAAGTGATATCCATTGATTATGTTGTAGTATTTGTATGATATTTGGCTTGATTCGGCTATTTGATAGAAATAGTTGGCAAATTGCATGAACAAAATAGCAGGTGGGGGAAGAAACAGCATGTGCGGCCAAGCTATATGCGGTTTCGTTCTTCATAATCATAGGAACAAAAAACGATGAAATAGCAGTTGAGATGAGAGGAAATTGCAAATGGCCTAAGTCGTCTATGGTTTCGTGGGAGGAAAAAAACTGGAAAAGAAGATTGTAGTGATCAAACCAACTGGAAAATAATCATATATGGTGTACGGGGACAAACGTAGAGTAAATTTTAGAATCATCTCCCTGATGAAATCCATAAAATGTGTGTCTAAAGGATGTACATCATACTTGACATTTGTGATCAATGCAAAGAAGGAGAAAAGGAAGATGCGGAGGATACCCGTGGTGTGCGACTTTCCGAAAGTCTTTCCGGAAGATCTTCTTAGATTGACCCCTGATAGAAAAGTAGAGTATAGGATGGACTTGTTACCAGGAACCACACCTGTAGAAAAATCACCTTACCGATTAGCAGCGACAGAGATGAAGGAGCTAATGGTACAACTTCAGGAGTTGTTGGACAAGGGTTTCATTAGACCTAGTTCATCACCCTGGGGACTCCGGTGTTATTCGTGAAGAAGAAGGATGTGACCATGAGGATGTGCATAGATTATAGAGAGGTGAACAAGGCAACGGTGAAAAACAAGTACCCATTGCCAAAGATTAATGACATGTTCGATCAGCTGCAGGGTGTGAACTATTTCTCGAATATCGATCTTAGGTTGGGATATCATCAGATAAAGGTGAGAGAGCGGGATATAGAGAAGACTAATTTCATAATGAGATATGGACACTATGAGTTCTTGGTTATGACGTTCGGACTGACCAATGCTCCAGCAACATTTATGGATTTGATGAATAGGGTTTGTAAACCTTTCCTCGATAAATCTGTAATAATGTTCATCGATGACATTCTTGTATATTCAAAGAGCCAGCATGAGCATGGCAAGCACTTAAGAGAAGTGTTAGAAGTTTTGAAGAAGGAGAAACCATATGAAAAGTTCTACAAGTGTGATTTTTGGATTCGGGAAGTCCAATTCTTGGGTCATATGGTTAACCAACAAGGAATAATGGTTAACCCAGCAAAGATTGAAGTTGTGATGACTTGGAACGACCAAAAAGTCCCATCGAGATTCGAAGCTTTCTGGGATTAGCTGGATATTACAGAAGGTTTATCCAAGGCTTTTCTTCGATAGCTGCTCCGTTGACAGTTTTGACCCATAAAGGAGCTACATATACATGGAGTGAGAAGCACGAAGAAGCTTTCGAGGAACTAAAGAAGAAATTATGTGAAGCATCAATTCTTTCTTTACCTGACGGAGTTGAAGACTTTGCAGTTTATAGTGATGCATCTGGAGTTGGGTTAGGTTGTGTTCTGGCCCAGCGAGATAAAGTATTCTACTATGCATCTCGACAACTGAAAGAGCACAAGAAGAACTACCCTACTTATGATCTGGAGTTGGCAGCAGTAGTATTTGCATTAAATATATGGAGGCATTATCTTTATGACACAAAGTGTAAGCTTTTCACTAATCATAAGAGTATCCATTATCTCTTTGGTCAAAAGGAATTGAATATGAGACAACGACGCTGGCTAGAATTACTCAAGGATTACGACTGTGAGATACTTTACCACCCTTGTAAAGTGAATTTCGTAGCAGATGCTTTGAGTAGAAAGATAAACTTGGAAAGGAAGAAACCAAGGGCGTTGACAATTAAAATTGTCTCATCGACTGTCGAAAGTATCAAGAAGGCTAGGAGGAAGCTTTGGGAGGAGATAACCGAAAGTAAGAGCGTTTAGGCAAAACATTGGAATTCGGTATAAGCAGTCAAGGATTGAAGGTAATCCAAAATAGAATATGGGTTCCTAACATGGGAGGAATGAGAGATCTTCTCACGGAAGAAGCTCATAAAAGCATGTACTCGATTCATCCTGGTAGCACCAAAATGTATAGGTATTTAAAACCTTACTACTGGTGGCCGGAAATGAAGCTCGATCTTGAAAAGTATGTGGCCGAGTGTGTGACATGTGCAAGAGCTAAGGCGCAACATCAGAAACCGTATGGAAGTTCGGAGCCTTTACTGGTACCCATGGGTAAATGGGGAGACATCACCATGGATTTTGTGACTAAACTACCCAGGATGAAGAATGGTCACGACATGATTTGGGTAATAGTGGATCGATTCACAAAGAGTGCACACTTCATAGCGGCCAATGAGAGATGGTCTATGGATAAGTTTGCAGATGTCTACGTAAAGGAAATAGTAAGACTTCATGTTGTTCCCTTAAAGATTATATCGGATCGTGATAATCGTTTCACTTCAAGGTTTTGGAAAAGCCTACAAGAAGAAATGGGTACGAAGTTGTGTTTGAGTATGGCCTACCATCCGCAGACTGATGGTCAGAGTGAAAGGACAATTCAAACATTGGAGGATATATTGAGAGCATGTACCCTAGAATTCCAAGGTAACTAGGATGAACATCTACCCCTAGGAGAGTCTTCCTATAACAATAGTTACCATTCAAGCATTAAGATGGCACCATATAAATCCTTATACAGACAGAAGTATCGTGCACCGTCTTGTTGGCTTGAGGCTAGAGAAAAACCGTTTATGGGTCCTGAGATAGTCCATCAGACTGCTAAAAAGCTAAACGTAATTAAATAAAGGATTTTAGAAGCTCAAGATCATCAAAAGAGCTATGCTGACAAGAAATGATGATCAATGACCTTCGAAGTTGGATATTTGGTGTTGCTCAAAGTATCGTCATGGAAGGGACTTATAAGATCTGGAAATGCCAAAAGAACTTGATGGTATTCATAACACTTTCCATGTGTGTTATGTGAGGAAGTTCGCGGGAGAAGTCTCCGATATAATTCCACTTTTGGAGATAAGGATTGATAAAAATAAGAGGTTAATCGAAGAGCCGAAGCAACTGTAGACCGTAAGACGAAAAGGTTACAACGTAAGATGGTTAATTTAGTGCTTGTGCGATGGAAACATTCGAACGGGCCAAACCTCACCTGGAAAACAAAAAGCGAGATGGAGAATCGCTATCCACATCTGTTTTGCTGATGCATGATTCCAAGGACGGAATCATCCAAGGGGGGGGGGAGAATTGTAACACCTGCGTTTCTCGCTAGGCATTAATAAGATGATGTAATAGTTAGGATCAACAATTATAACTTATTTAATATAATAAAGGGAAAATTATTTTCGTATTATGTGATTTATGTGTAATTATTTGTAGTATACATGTTTACTATAATATAATAAAATATGAATAGAATACACATCTAAATAGAATAATAATTAGGCCAAATATCCTTGACGAAAGTTGAAGTAGTCGTGACAAGGATTCTGGGAATATAAGGAGCGCTCAAAACGAACTTAGAACGAAGAAGTTAAGATCCGTTGAAATTTCACATTAGCACTGGCACGACTATAGATATAGTAAATAGAAAATCAAAGATAGATCGATTATTAGCTTTAGTGACCTAAACAAAAGTCGTAGTAGTTGTTAAACCGATAGCATACATATAGAGAACAGCCAAATCAGACTTCAATAGAGAAAGTTATGATTTTTCTAAGATTCAGTGTAGCAGTAGACAGCCAAAATATCTAATTATAGATCGGTTGATTGTTATCTGAAACAATCTAAACGAGAGTTAAATATCTCGTTAATAGGAGTCAACAATAAAAAGACAGTTGAAAACGGACGTCGGATGACTTATGCATTTTATACGGGCTTTAACAGTTTAAGCCTGTGTAAAATACATAAACTCAAAATTAGCCGATGAAGTCTAAACGAAAGTTGTAGATCTCGTCGATAGCTATGTGTGGATATAAAGAACATCAAAAACGGAGCAAGTGTTAAGAAGTTACACTATTTTGAAGTTTGAGTTTCGTTGCGCACGTTTGCGCCTCGTGCGCGACTTTTTAGAAGCCGTTGCGTAGCACCAGCCATTTCCGACACGTGGCACCACACCTAGGCAAGCACATCGACCATGTACGCGACACACATGGCCCTTGCACGGTGCATAGCCCGAGGTTCCATCCTATAAATAGTTGCTCAATGTTCATTCATTCCTCACAAATCTAATACTCTTTCTCTCTCGATTTCCACTCCCATAAACTCGGATCTTTCTTAAATTTTAGGATATTTTGGCAAGTTTAGAGGCCTTTAGGAGCCCGGCCTCTAGTAGCTTTCAGCCTGGAGTTCCGCCAGTGTAATTT